ATTTAAACCTACAAACTCACTCAGGGACAAGCTCTGTAGGTTAAAGGACCCAGTTGACCCAATTAGACAAAATAATATTATTTACAAAATACCATGCAATGACTGTGAGGTCAACTACATAGGTCAAACTAGTAGGTCAGGGGTAGTCAGATTGTCAGAGCATAAAAATTTAGCTAAGGTAAGAATGGTTGACCCCGAGAAGATAAGTAATTTAGAAAAAAGCTCAGCAATTGCAATGCATGCGCTAACACACAACCACACAATAGGGTGGGAGAGAGTTAAAATTCTAAAAAGTAATCTAGGTAGGTGGAGAGAGAGGTTGATTACTGAATCCTTGTTCATCGAGTCTACACCCAACACATGCAATAGGAATGACTCGTCACTCATACCTGAAATATGGAAAATACTACTACCAATCAAATCAAGTGAAAGTCAAGAGAAAAACAATGGAACTATATAAATGAATTTAGGAAGTCGTGTGATTACCTTGATATGATTATGAGCAATAAATTGTGCTCGAAACGTCATCAGTAAACATTACTGTATAACACTGTGAGACTTTATCAAAACAAAATTTACCCATAATGGAATTCTTTATCCGTTCTCTACTTATATATATATATATATATATATATATATATATATATATATTTCTCTTCTTTATTTTCTTCTTTTGATCTATGTTGTTTTATTATCATTGTGTGGCGCATCCTTCTTGGTGCCATAATGTACCAAGTTTTTATGCGTTTAAATAAATAAATACACACACACAAGCATACCCTTCAAGCACTAACGAAAGTAACGCATCAGTTCAAGTAGGCTACTACAATCACACTACAATAAGTCGTGAAATTTATCATCTCAGTTTACTTATCCAATGCAAAAAAAAGGATTGATGAAAAAATGACAAGTGGGAAATCTTAACAGCCTACATAACACATCCCCATTATCAATCACTTTTCTCCTTTCTCCTTTGCATATTAATTTGTCTATTAGTTATTTGATATGTTACACAGTGAAACAGTATTATTTGCTGAACGATGTTTCAAACACATTTTAATATATATTGTTCACAATCATATCAATTATAACTAGATAACTTCAAAAATTCCGCTTTATAGTGTTCTTTATTTCCTTCTATCCGTCAAAAGGGTAGTAGTAGAATTTTCCAGATGGCCGGGTGGAAAGATGTTGAATCATTCCTACTATACACGTATTCTCAGGTGATTCGGAAACTAAACTTATTTATTTTTGATTACAGCTTGATTCCACACCGAATTTTTGGTACAAGTATGGAATTTTCAGCATGTCATATCAGTAGCCTAAATTTTGCAGGAACCGATTGTGAAACAAATAGGCAGGAAGAAATGGAGATGGATTGGCCATACACTGACGAAACCATCAAGTGACAACACTAGACAAGCCATTGTGCTCGAGTGGAACCCGAAAGGGAAGCGGTGAGTTGGTCGTCAGTGCGAAGGTGACTTGGAGGAGGTCATGTGAAGAGGAGATGAGAGCATGTGGGCAGACTTGGAGCGGGGTGAAAAAGTTGGCAGAAAACCGAAGGCAATGAAGACGCGCAGCTGAAGCCCTGTGTTCCTCTAGGAATTAAAGGATATAATAATAAGAAATTTTGCAGGCCGACCATAGATATCAGGTGTGCATCGGCAGGGGATCGAACCATGGACCATGTGCATGGTCGGCGAGAGTCCTAACTGCTGTGCCACAGACACTTCCGTTATCAACCTCTCTCTCCACCCTAATATATTAGGTTTTAGAGTTGTCATCTTAACCCCATCCTATCCTAGTGTATGGTTGTGTGTAATCGCAAGTAGTACTAGAGCTAAACTGTTTTGCAGATTTCTTATCTTATTAGGGTTAACTAGTCTAGAACTCGCTAAGTTTCTGTGCTCCACTAGTCTGACTGACTTCATTCGACTACTTTGACCTATGTATTTGGCCTGATAATCATTGTAGGTTGTTAGATAAACGAAATTATTTTGTTTAATGAGCTTCCCTGGATTCTTTAACCGAAAAAATTTGTCTTTAGATGAGTTTGTGTGTTTGAATGCCATTTTTATTCCTGCTTTGTTAAGAATTCTACGTAAGGGTATCATAGATTTCTTCCTGGTATAGAAGTACTACTGACAATTGAAACTCTTTATTTTATTGCACTTTTGTTACGCATGTTGTCATTAATATCATCATTATTATTCCACCCTAATTTAGAATGAAGAAACTCAACAAGTCACGTAGGTATTCCAAGTCGAATCTATTGGAGATTTATTATCGCAGTGTAAACGTAGAGAAAACAAACGATCGAATACACAATATCCCTATATTATTATTATTATTATTATTATTATTACTTTATTCCTTTGCATTCCCAATGAAAAACAGGGCTTGAAGCTTGAGCTTTGAAGTTTCAGTAGCAGGGGTGTTCGTTGCTTTTTATTGGGCTTACTGACGGCTAAGTGAAACATAAGAGTGCGTCAGCTGGGGGATCGAACTCCCGACTGTATGCATTATTGACGGATATTCCTACCAGTGAACCACAAATCTGTACAATACCATACTCTTCATATATGTCCAAACCAAGTTCACTTTAAACAGTTTGAAAAAATTTGGGCATTGGGTATATGATATTCATTATAATAGAGGTTTTTGTATTTCCCAATGAATGAAAAACAAAACGAGATTGTTTTTACTGACGTTTCGCTATTTTATGCTAATAGCTTTCTCAAAGTATTATTAAACCGGAATTTACAAAATCTCAGCATATATATAACAAAGAGTTAGTAGGGGTTGAGAAAAATATAGACTCAGTTCAACTTAAAAGGACATATTGAAAGTCAAAATAACAATGGAGATCGTTCAAACCAAATATCGAAGGTAATAGTATATCTTTACCCATTTGCCAACTTGACAACAAAAAACAACCCAGACTGACGAACGATGATCAAGTACTTCACAACCTACACTTAGTTTGGTTACCTTTACCTATTCTCCAACTTGACAACCTAAATGATGAAACTAAATGAATCGGGTCCCAGTGGCTGAATGGTATACGAGCTTGCCTTGTAACTGGAAGGTCCTGGGTTCGAATCCCAGTGGGTGCGTACTGCCGATGATTCCCTAACGAACGATGATCAAGTTAGTAAACTCTATTTTGATATAATAACAGATATACTATTACCTTCGATATTTGGTTTGAACGATCTCCATTGTTATTTTGACTTTCAATATGTCCTTTTAAGTTGAACTGAGTCTATATTTTTCTCAACCCCTACTAACTCTTTGTTATATCTATGCTGAGATTTTGTAAATTCCGGTTTAATAATACTTTGAGAAAGCTATTAGCATTAAATAGCGAAATGTCAGTAAAAACAATCTCGTTTTGTTTTTCATTCATTGGGAAATACAAAAACCTTTATTATAATGAATATCATACTCTTCAGATGAACCAATTAAGTGGCATTAAAAAAAATTATGTCAAACTGTTTGCTGATGCATAGGTTAACTACCTTCCCATTTTGGAAAGGCCATTGGCACGTTAGTAAAAACACCAAAATTTAGCTTTCCACTCATTGAGAAATTATATATATATATATATATATATATATATATATATATAATAAACCTTCCTGTTATGTCACGTGTTACCTACACTTCTAGACTTGAATGTGATAAGAAAAATGTACTAGTAAAGATGAAATGCATTAATTCATATGAACTGTCGTCGAGATTTGACAGAATAGTTCTAAAATATTTGGGCACCGAGTGAGAAGTAGACATTTATAAAAAATTATATTTGTAAAATCTCAGTGAGATTGAAATGAGTAATTCCAAAGTTTCGTTCGGAAATCTGGTCCGAACTTCTGTCAAATCTTGAGGACAGTTCATTTGAATTATTCTGCAATCGAATTAAATTAACAAAGAAACCATGTAATTGGTACAATCATCGTGTTTTCACTCTCCGTTGTCTGCAACAAAATGCATATCCTAAATCCGTAGCTGTCCAGTCACCTGACAACTCCAGCAGGTCGAACGAAGCAGCTCAATATTCAGAAAGAAGAAAAAGCAATAAGTTCGACAAGGTGCTTCAACTAAACTCTTATCCTAAACACCATAATTTTGAAAATACTTCTAATCATAAAATTCTAGATACTAACAGTTTGAACAGACATGAAGGTGTGATGTTAGCTGATGCATAGGAAATCCTGATTAATAAATAAAAATGGATATGTATCACTAATCAATAGAGTACTTGGTCGAAATTCCCGACTGCCTATTTCTTCTTATGGAGACGTTAAGAAATGTTTTACAACTGTTCACCCACACACGCATCCACACTCTGTTTAAAGTGTTTAACAAAGGTAGACCAATATTTGTAAGTTCGAGGACGAATTTTGATCACAGCTCATACAATTTTGTTTATCATACTTTTTGATACTTGTTTTATGAATCATGATTGGACAAAGTTTTAAAAAACAAGAGATGGTCCTTTTATATATAAAACTCTGTTTTGTTAATTTCGATTAATTCCCGTGAAGAAGTTCGGACCAGATTGCCGAACGAAACGTTGGAATTACTCATTGCAATATCGCTGAGATTTTACAAATATAATTTTTTACAAATGAAATGAATTAAATGAATTACTTCAGTGAAGATGTGGGCAAACCACATTGGAGATATTCATGTAACAAAATTAAGCAATGAAATACTATTCGTACTGATTTTCCAGACACCATAAGAATAAAAAATTAACTCTGCTAGCCTTTTTCACTTTCCTATATTTTCCAATTTAATCTTTAACTGTAATCCCCTTTTTCCTTAGAATAATTTTATAAGCTGGTATACAATGAATGGTGTTTGCTGTTACACAGACGTGTTTAGCATGAATACAGCTAAAAGAAATGTAAGTTAAGGATAGTTTCATCTGTATTCAAAATCATAGCAATTCCAAAAAAAAAATTATATGAATAAATGTAATCAATCACCTGAACTCCTTCAATAAGATCAAAAAAGGCTTCATCATTTGCTCCAATTTGACTTTGGATAGGTGAATTAGAAGTATCCGGTGTTTGATGTGGATTTTCAGATGACTGAGAATGATCTAATTCTTCTGGAGTAATATTTGTAGCCGCTTCAGTCGACTGTACAGGTGGGGTGCCTTGACTAGTGCGTAGATAACAACGCTGTTCATCCATACGACGAGATTGAGATTCAAGAAGAAGAGAGAAAAACATTTCTTGTTGGTCAGCTGAACGCTCCTCTGCAACTAAAGAGGCAGCAGCCACAGCAACTGCTGATGAACTGGCAGTGTGGGTATTTCCAGACTCTGTGTTACCACTATAGGCTAAATCATTAGGTAAGTTAGGAGTTCTATTCATCTGAGACATAGATTCAATTGATTCGAAATTCCCTTCAATATCACCAAGATTTGATGTGTCAGACTGTTGTGATAAATTAGGACGAAATGCTGGAATTCTTAGATAGAAGTCAACCTAAAACAATTCAAAACGAATAACAGGAATTCATTTCAGTTATCATTATCCAAAAAACTTATTTTGATACAAATTTTATGGATACCAATTAGCTAGAATTTATATGTTTAAGGCCAATGTCATTTATTTTTTTATCATTGTGCCCTTGGGTTCCTAGTGAAACATAGGGCTGCAACTGAACGTCTCCACTTGCTTCTGTCTTCCTTCTGCTGTACTTTTCACCTGCATCCATGTTAGTCCATACTCTTTCAACTCCTCTTCACACGATCCCCTCCATGTTACCCTTGCACTGACGTCGCCGCTTCCCTTTCGGGTTCCACTCGAGCAATGGCCTGACGCGCGCGCGATGTCACCCAGTGGCATCCTCAGCGAGTGAGTGTCCAATTTATCTCCACTTTCTCCTGCATATTTGTTGGGCGATTGGCTTTTGCTTTGTTTGTTCCCATAGTTTCTTGTTGGTGATTCTTTCTGGCCCGGCAATTTGATCTTCAGTATAGATCCAGCGAAGACAGTTATTGATAAAGGTCTGTTCTGCAAAAGGCTGTTGGAAATGTTCTTTGTGACCCGCCCGCCAAGCTTCTGATCAGTATAGAAGAACTGACTTGACATTTATATTGGAAATCGCCTAGATTACTGGCTCGCTAGTTTCCTAGCCGGTCACAAGCCTGGATAAAGAGGGAGTGTGGTTAGGGCGTGGTGCTAGCAACTCCACCCCCAAAACTTAACCAAATCGCTACAGAAACTTCAACGCATAAATATATTAGGGTCAATGCCATAATTAACGTTAAAACCTTTCCACCATAGTAACAGGCCATCTGAATCAGAGAACAAACTTATCATACTTCTTAGAAGATTCGATTGACTTTGAAAGCTTTTCAGCCTTCTTTAAGCTTTTTTAAGTGCATGAACTAATACCTTTTAAACATCCTAGCACTACGTTATAAGTATTTATATAATTTCTTTGCATAGGAATGTCGGCAGGTTTAAAAGCTTCACCTTACTTACTTCAAGCAAATGACTTCACTAAATACAGGGGATCAACAAACATTCACATGTAAAAACGATATACTAAAACTGTATGATCCAAGAAACACCGAATAATAATGCACTTAGTAAAAGATAACAATATTAAAGATAATATGTAACTTGTATTAACAGTTGATATGTGGCCTCGGTGGTTTAGAGGTAGAATACTCGCTAACCATGCTCACTTGGTCCATGGTTCGATCCCCAACCTCCGTTAGCCGGTTATAAGCTCAATAAAGAGGAAGGTCGGGTGTGAAGCTAGCAACCCCACTCTGCAAAACAACACCACTACCCTTGGAACCACACATTTGAGGCTTGAAGCTATATGTTCTACTAGGAACGCGAAGAAATAAAAAAAACACCAGTCGATGCACCGTACTACTCACGAAGTCATTAAAAGGTTACTTGTTGGAAACTATCAATCTAAATTTAGCTACTTTTTTTATCTGAGAACAAAAGATGGTCAAGGGGATTTAATTACTAAAGAGGAGGGAGAAAAGAAACAATGGACTGATCACTTCAAAGGACTCTTGAATAGACTATCACCTGCAACTAATCCAGTAATAACACCACCAACAAGCATACAACTGCCAGTAGGCACCAATCCTCCAGCAAAACCGGAAGTCTTGAATGCAAACAAGCTACTGAAAGGCACCCAGGAAAGCAACAGGACCAGATGGTATTCTTCCTGAAACAATGAAAATGGACCTAGAGGTCGCAGTGAATATGCTCACGCTACTACTATTGCAAAATGTTTGGAAGGAATAAAAGGTATCTGTTGACTGGACGAAAGATCAGCTTATCAAAGATGGATGACTAAGGCTTCAGTAAGAACTGGCGTGGAATCATGGTCTTGCCCACGACAAGCAAAATACTAAGTCGCGTCATCCCGCAGAGAATAAAAGATGCACTGGGTGCAGAGCTCCATCTTCCGGAACAAGCCGGATTCAGAGAGGGTAAGTCATATGCTGGTCATACTGCAACTTTACTCATAATCATCATCACAGAACAAAGCATAGAATGTCAGTCAAACCTCTACCTCAACTTCATCGACTTCGAAAAGCCTTCAACAGACAGCATTGATCGAGAAGTTATTTGAGAGTACTTCAACACTACGGTATTCAGTGACCAAGTCTTTATCAACCTCATTCAACAGCTGTATGACAACGACTGACTGATTGACTAGTTTCAACGTAAAATTTGCACCGGTGTGTAGCAGTTCCAGTCGTCACACTTCACTTGGCACACAAGCAAGATAAGAAAGTAAAAAAGAAATGCAAAACAGAGCCAGTAAACAGAGATATGAGGCAAAAAGAAGAGTAACATAGAAGAACAATATAGTTTTATCGGATATTTTAAGTCTCAAAGAGTGGATACATCTGCGCCAATGACAACGATTTTAAGCCCTATATGACAATGCTATGTGTCAAGTGATCCACAACGGGACACTCAGTGAGTCGTTTGAAGTCAATACTGGAGTAAGACAAGGCTGGCTGTCTATTATCAACAATGCTATTCTTCAATGTGGTGGACTGGATTATGCGTCAGACTGTAATATTGGAAGTGAGAAGACAGGAATACACTGGACCACCGATAAGAAGACTCTAGAAGACCTGGATTTTGCGTGTGGAGGATTTATGTTTAATGTCACACACACACACGCACACAAACTCGAAAACTCGCAGGCGAAAACCAACAAAGTGGCTGGAGAAACAGGCAAAGAAGACAGAACTCCAGGTGAACATACAGACGACGAAGATGATGAAAATAACCAACAAACAGCGGCAGCAACAAAAACCAGCACCAATCACCATCAACGGGAGAGATTTAACAGAGATTGTTTCCTTCACTTATATAGGGAGCATCGTCCCAGCTACAGGCGACACAGATGCATATATGCTAAAGCCAGAATGGAAAAAACAAGACAAACCTTCATCACTCGGCACAAAGGACAAAATCTAGATTTTCAAAACTAATTTTAAGTCGGTTCTTCCATATGAGCGCGTATTACGAAAAGCAGTTCTAACAGCTTACTACAGACTTATATCAGCAGCTTCCTTTGCTGGCTCTATACTAGAGATGAGATGGCCAGAAATGATTAGCAGCAACAAACTCTGGGAACGAATCAATCAAGAACCTACTGCTCAACAGATATGCCGGAGAAATTGAGGATGGATATGATACACGCTAAGGAGATCGTCAGATGAAATTGCACGCCAGGACATCGGTTGAGTGGAACTCGAATGGGAAACAAAGAGTTGGGCATACGTTTGAGGGTGGCATGCAGGAGATTGTGAGAAGAGGATATGACAACTTATGAGAAATCGTGGGGTCAGTTGAAAGGGATCGCAGATAATAGGATAAAGTGAAGAAGCCGACCTTTTTCAGGTGTTATATAACCCGTACGCTTAACTTAGATTCAGTTATCTCATCTCGTTATGCTGAAAAGATCCCAAAGCAGATTAAATAAATTTTTTTCGTATAATTAAATGGCAACCTAATTCTACTTTGGCGTCAACTAGTGAAAAATGATAACATATGAACTGATAATAAGTGAGTGCTGTCCAAAGATACTGTAATCAGAAATAAGTAAGATAAAATGAGTAATTAAAAGGTTATGTATGAAATTCAAGATTCAAGAGTGTAAACGAAAACCAATAAATTTCCCACTATATGTATAATATCTTCTAAAAGAACAACCGATGAAGTCATAAAAATCACAGATGAGTTAATCACTGATGAAACACCCTCTTGATGATATTAAATCGCAGTTATTAGATGGTTGGAGGCAATCGACCACAGGAAACCTTCGACCTAGGTTTCGTGCTAGTTGGCACTCACCAGTTAGCAAGGCATATCTGCAACATTGAAGGAACTCATGTCCTTTATGAGATTCAAACCCGCGTCACCCAGTGCTGCAGTCACAGACGTTACCGCTGAGCTATTCAAGCTCGCGATTGACCTCCTGTAGGACTGTAGTGGGTACCTTGATTGGACACTAGCAACTGGTGTGATGTGTCTAGTCATTAACAGAATATACTCTAGGCAACATCAAAGTGCACCTATCAGTTCACCTGTTCTCTATGGAGCTAGGTATGTGGACCATACTCAGCGTTTGCTATCACCAAACATTCACCCTCATGGTTTCACATAAAAAAAATCCCGCGCAGTTGTATTCTGAAACAAATGATCCGTTCTGAAAACCAAGCAAACTCGCAAATCAACTTCATAGTTACTTACAGAGTACTCAGAAATCTTGTCAGGGGAGTACGACTCAAACTTCTTCAAACCACAGAAGCTATGGCAATGTATATATTAAGTCCTGAATTCTGTATAGGGAAGAAATTTGTTCAGCCACATTTGATAAGTGACTAGTATTAGTCCTAACACTTTATCTATGCTATTTATTCGTTCTACTTTTTAATTTTAGTATTTCCTCACTTCTCACTACCATATCTCTACTCCTTACATACACTGATCTTAATTTGACCCTCCCAACTTCATCTGGACTTTACTCAGTCTTGTGAATTCTGTTGCATCACTCAATTCGTTTATTTTATTTTGATTTCTGCCCGATTAGTGTTTCTTGTATTACGCAATTTTTATCTGAAACTTACAATTTTAACGACACACCTCTGGAAACATTCCTTATCTGACTATGAAAACTATATATATATATATATATATATATATATATAAATGATTTCACAGCCTGAGAATGACATCGCTGAAAGGAGTAACTATTCGCTGAAGGCATCCTCGTTTAAATCAAGAAGCTTCAGATATTAATTAAGTATCCACTTCGAACTCATATCATCATAATTTCAAATTTCGCAATTCTTGACATGTTCATCATCCAAAGTCGCTGTCAGTTATTCATTCAAACAGTCTACATTATAGATAATAAAGTGAATCATTTGACAAGAATACCACTTTCACCAGAGTTTCATGCTGCTTGGGACTTATTAAAAAGAAGTGTATCCTCAAATATGAATGAGATCATATTCCCACCCGTTGTTTCAACAGGAGTAAATCAATGCTACAATCAAAAATCTTTATCAACAGGCTATTCCCTAAAGAGCTTCCATACGACTGAATTGAAACAACGGTTAAGTAAGTAAGCATTGAACCTATCCATTTTGGTCGACTTTAAAGCTTTAAGTTTAGGTCGCCTTGTTACTATAAGACTCATATCCCTGTCTACTGTCTCTATTTTGCATTTCCTCTACTTGCTTACCTTGCTTTCTGTGCTACATGGAGTGCGGCGACTTGAACTGTTACACATCGGTGCAAAGTTCTATATTGAAAATAGGCAGACAGACAGACAGTCACTATAAGACTACACTTAATAACACTGACATATCTACTACTTATTTCCTGAAATCGTCTTTTTATTTCTTTCCCAGTGAAAAGCTATACACAGCTTCTCATGTTTACCATGCATATGATAATTTAAAAGATAAGTCAGTAAAATTAAATAAATTCATAATATATGATATAACTTTTACCATATTCTCCTTCTTAGACTCTGATGAAACGGGTGTTGGAATATCTGTATAGAAAAAGCAAATAATAAAGACAATAATATTAGTAATAATAGCAATAATAGTAATAATAAGTAGATTAACAGTCACGAAAAGATATTTTCATTCACATGAATGAATACTATACAAATCAAAAGCAAATTAGAGAACAAAACAATCTGATATGTATATATGTTGAATAGATGCACAGTAGTTTACCGTTAATCTAATCAAATTAAATAATAATTCTCAAAATCTTCATTAAAAAGTAATGACGAAGTAAACTGAAGTTAACCGTGACAGCTACAATATTTCAACCAACCACTTATATATAAACTAGCAGTAGGATTCAGCACGCATGTTTCGTCCTATTTTGGGATCATCATCCGGGTGTACTTTCTTTCTTCAGTAGATGACAGTGATCCCACTGAGACTCCATTCCCTGGACGTAACCATTAACTAACACGAAAAAAATAATTTAGATCACGGAATATACACATTTGATCATAGGGAATAAAAAGACAGTTGCAGCGAAGAAAATTTTCGCGTCGACGAAGTCATCATCAAGGCTGTACATTCGTGTATTTATAATAAATGGGTACGAAAGTTCCAGAAAAATTTCTGGTCAAGGGTCAGATTAATAGAATTACAATTTGGAATTAAAATGCCATAATAAACAGGGGACAAATAAAGCTCAGACAAAGTAACATCATAATTACTGAGAAGGTTGACATGTTGTACAATTAGAGGTTAGAAATGTAGAAATAACAACAATAGACAGAATCTAGTGGGATCATAACTGATGTGACGAATAATTGTCTTTGTATTCTGTCTTTTTATTCCCTATGATCAAATAATTTAGAGTAATACAGAGCCACCTTTATAGACAGTCCACTAAAACCCAAATAAGCCTGATGAATTCAAACAGATATTTCAGCGGGAAATCACAAATAATATGAATGTTTGCCAAACTAGTTCATACATATTTTGCGATTATATATAAGTAGATAATGACAACTAAGCAACCAAATGCAAATTTCTATGCCCATATAACCGACAACTGTTCTTGTCTACATTTGTGTTCATACTACTACCAACACATCCATAAATTTAAAAAAATCAACTTGTACTTGTAATCCATGTTAGAAATCGAATCAATAGCACCGAATGAACATAATATGACAATCAACCTTCCTATTGAGTTAAATCAAAGCTTAAAACACAAATTTTTATTCACATAGGATGCAGGGATACACATAACACTTGCTTCATTGAAAACTTAGTGAAGCGAAATAGTACAGTAGTACGGAACAGAAGCACATATACCTATAAGTAAAATCTCTTATCTGCCTAATAGGGATTACGCTTTTGTCAATGATAGTACTACTTTAAAAATAAGTAAAATTGTTAACAAACTTCAAAGAAAGAGGAGATCGTTTGATATAACATAAATAAAAACAAATTCTATCGAAATGCTTTTCTCTACAGAAGGAATAAATAAAACAACTGAAACTACCAAAAACAAAATGAAAATAAAAAGTGTAAATGAAACTATGTTTCGAAACTTTATCACAGTGAGTACATAAGTCATCGTCGAATAGATTTACCTGCGTTTCGTTTCTGCATCCTTCAATATGATAGAGTAGAAGTGATGAGTTCACCTTATTCGATTTTTTTATTGTATTTAAAGGAACACTCATAGTAAATGTAACGACGTTTGCCTGTTTTAAAGGTAGCTTTATCCACGGGGAGGATGAAAGTAATACTATTATGCAAAAAAACACCTTCCGATTACTTTGACCCTCACCTGCTCCCCTCTCCCACTTATCACAATAGATCAAATTAAATGCAGTTTACCTAAGAGATATAGAGGTAGATTGTGTTCAAGTTCACGGTGCATATGCACAATCGACAGTAAACAATAATATGCAACAAATCGATTGAACGATGTGATTATTTAAAATAGTGAGTTTTATTCAGTTCACTAAAATGAGACAATATGGAATAATTGATTGGTTTAATTAACCCCTTCTTTCTAGCTAAAATGGTGCATATTCGAATCCATATAGTTGGGTCACAGGAGTAGTTCAATTTGTATACAAACAGAAAAGAATGCATTTAATGCATTTTGTCAGTAAAGATCTGGCTTCAAATATTTCTTTTCAAGAGGCGTGCTCACACACATTTATCACAAAGTCAGTATTCTTCCTTCGAGACACTTTATTGACACCAACCTCTTACCCATTGAAGCATAATAATAGCTGAAAATATTATTAAAGTTACCCCAGTTATCACTATTAAATATTCATCAAACATAGTTTTTTTTTATTTGTTTAAGAACCATGAACGGTGATACAATACGAGACAGGCGAGATTCTCAGATAAATCGGTTACAAATAAATTAATAAGTACTGCAATTCAGTTACTATAGATCTAGTGATAGGAATATCTATTGCTTATTATTTGCATATATTACTTTTAGGTGTTTATTTCTTTCTTCTTACTTTCATGAACCCTAACCTAATATTCTTCCATTTGTGTTCTTTCTAAAGAAACTACCTAATATTGATTTCTGAATTTCTACTACTGGATATTTCATTATCAGACGTGATACACCTTAAAGTGTATAAACGCGACTGAACTGTGAATAATGTGATATACCATTTGAACAAAATAAACCTTTTAAACTAGGTGATTTGAGCGTTCGAAGAACACTAACGTTCATTAGTACTTACATGAGATACCTTAAGAACCAATTGTGCGGCGAGAGTGGAGCTTCTAAAAGACTCTACTTTAACTATCGGGGTCACTGACCCAAATCCCCTTCCATCTACCAATACATAGACAGTCAAGCAGAATCATTAATCCTTATACAACAGGTTTGGCGAAGTTAAAAATAAGGCCTCAGTTGCAAAGGAATCCCTACTACTGACCACAAGGTTGAATAAATGATCCCCTGAACTAAGGAGTTACTCTGACGATAAAAATAAAATATACTGAACAAAGATTGAAATGTGTGGTCACACAAAAACTCCATATACTTAAACAAAACACAATTATAAGTAAGAAAATATGTGTACAAAGAAAAGTTAATTTCTTCTTTTAACATTTTAAGTGTATATCCCACGACTAGCAATAACTTCTACCCTGAAATCAATGGGACTCTGATCTGACTATCACGGTAGAACTTTGCAGAAAAACATGAAATTTCAAGCTACTACTATGATTTGAAAAAGAAAACACATAGAGGTAGAGGAACCACAATGGACGAAATCATAGTAGATTAACATGAGCTAAAACAATGCAGCTGTACTTTACACTACGACAACATGACGAAGGCAGAATATTTCCTCGCCTCTTATATACACAGTTCAACTGCGAAACCAATAACAGACTTAACAATGTGATATGTAAAAGTACAACATGACTATGCAAACATAAAATCCACTTAACGAACTATAAGTGTTCAAAACTACATCTGAGAGATCAAATAATCAGATCATCTCAATATATTTAATCAAGTCAGGAGTGGTTAACCCTAACCAGTGAGCGACGAATAAATGGTTTGTGTGTAGACTTGACTAAGCTTATAGACAGTGATTCTCACCATACGCGTCATAAATGATAGAACCTTAGAGTAAGTGATTATTTTTGTTGCCCAATGAGGAAGTAAGTTATGCTGTTCACAATATGCTTCTAAGCGAACATCTATAACCTGAGCTATTTAATACTTTTATTACATTATTACTGTTTTAATATCGGCATGTCTTTTCTCCACACCAAACTCTACTACTTTGAAAAGTGAGTTCTTACCATATAGTATAAGAGATGAATGAATTTTGTTTTAGAGAAGAATCTATAAGTGTACAATACAATACAAATTCAGGTACTAATGGCCTCCTACTAAGAAGATTTCCACGAAATACAATCGACTTACAACTGATTTTGTTTTACATTCTTGTGTGTTTTGAGTGGAACATAGGGCTTCGAACGTGAGCTTTGAAGTTTCCGTAGCAGTAGTGCTTTTCTTTTTTCTACAAGTTGAGGGCACTAGCCTCTCGTAAAACTCCCCTCTTTTCTAGGTTTAATACCGGCTAAGAGAGGTTTATGGGTGGCATCGACCAGCAAATGAACCTGGACCATTTGCATGGTTGGCAGGTATTCTACCATAGAACCATTGGTGCTTGAAACCGAATTACTTGTGCAGAATTTAGCTTTCTCTTGACTAACTTACTTTTTAGATACGTTATTTGCGTAATTATGGATATCTTTCGCATCATCCTTCGATTTCTTCATTTGTACACTACTTTTGTTTATTATTTTTATACTGCTATAGGTTTGCTAACTTTTCGTAGCCTTGTAATTAGTGTCACGCAGATTACATCTCAATGTAGTGGACAATAAGCCACACTTATTGCATGAGGGTTAATGTTACTACCTGGCTGTTTAGAGCTTGGGATCTACTGCCACAACTCTATATTGCTGAATAATCTATGCAGTTATGGACACACAGTTTACACTTTCTCTGAATATTCAAGAATAAAAATACCAGAAATGATACAGACAATCCCAGTGGGAAGCGACGAGTGGGTCATCGGTGTTAGGGTGACATTGAGGCGATCATGTGAGGAGGAGATTAGTGACTATGGTCAATGTTGCACCCAGCTGAAGAGGCCGCCAGAAAATAGAAGAAAGTGAAAATGTGTTATTGAAGCCCTATGTTCCACTCGGAGCCCAAAGGAATAATAATGGTCTAAATGAATAATAACTAGCCTCTTGCATGAAATGAGTAATTTCATCAAGTCTAAAATTTAGCAAAAAAATCTAATAAAACATTCAATATCAAAAACTGTAGGCTATATTTTATTATAATAAATAATCTTAGAATTATACCAATGTCATTTTTTTATTTTGGTGGCCCAGTAGTCAAGTGCATAAGGCTTTAGCATTTGAAACAATGAGCGCTAGACACGAATCTCGGTGGGAATACCATCATTCACTGATATACAGACACATCCAGTCGATGAGT